GTCTCCATTCAAACCCAGGTTTAAAGCCTTGCAGGGCAGCATAAAGCCCACTGCCAACATTAAGACGGAAAAAAGAAAATAACAAATGCTCAGTTCAGGTATTTATAAAATATGGGAATCAGGAAATTGTCTACAAAACCAAACTGAAAACAAAAAAACACTTTAGATTTAAAATGTAAAAATGTTTTTTTTTTTTTTTTTTAAGTTCATTCAATTCAGTTTATTTCTATAGTGCCAATTCCCAACATATGTAATCTCAAGGCACTTTACAGTTCAGCAGATCATTCAGTCAAATTTTATGCATCCGTATAACATGGATGCATAAACACCTCCTTTTACTTCAGTATTAAATTCAGTTTAAAGTGACAGATTATATTTAAAAATGACTCTGGACCTTTACTGGTTGTTGATTTTCTTTATTCAGACCCCACTGATTTCTAATTGGTTACCCCTGTACTGGGTCATCAAATCAATTCAGTTTAGTCTGTCAAATAAGCTGCCTGTAGTGCCTTTAAATGTCCTGCAGGTGTCAGTATTCTGCAACACAGTATCAACGCAGTATCAGTAGTTTGGCGCTAATGTGTCCAAACACTTCAAGATGCCTGATTAACCATCACTACCTAGGTTTAATTGACACACACACTGAAGTTAATGAGGAAAAGGTATCAAACTCAATATATTAAAGGTTCTTTGTTTAATACAGTAACTTTATTGATCCCACACACCAGTAATTCACATTTCATGAGCTCTAAAGTAATGCAAAAAATAATTTGTATGGTAAACAATTTACCAAACAATAAGGTTTGTTTCAGTATATGTAATTTAAATCTAGTTAGCAAAATAAATATTGTCAATATTTTCACAGCTCAGATTCCCTTTTCAGATATTTCATCATTTAATGTCCGTCTATTCCTGTCTCGCAGGAAGATGTTTTTGATTGAATTAACTGCAGTTTCATTACATTCATTGGAACTTTTAAGAATATATGTTACAAAAACAAAAAGGGTTTACTATAAATAGGATCATTAAATCTGCACCCACATTCAAGGCAGAGGTAGGAAAAAATATATTTACTGTAAGTGTGGTCTTCTCCAGCCTCACAGCCTTGGTCTGCAGATATTTATATAACCTGTACAAAAAACAAAAACGACACAATTTCAATTTATTATGCATGTTTTTTGTTTGAGTATAGGTCTAAGAAGTCAGAGTAACAGAAAGTTATTCGGTGTTTATACATGTGGATGCAGTAACCGTAAGCCGCCACTGGAGGGCATTAGAGGATCATAAACAAGGAGAGCTGTTCCGTAAAAATTCAAAAAATATCCACTGGATAATGACTGGGAGTCCAGTGGATA